AGGTCAGAGAGGTAAGAGGTTTTGTTCTTATATCATTTTTGTACTTGGGGATATATAATATATCCAGATTATATATCCTGACTTGGGGTCCTGTAAAAAGTTTGATTATCTATTAAACAATTTTTTTCTAACAGTCTTATATAACAATGTATGTATATTTGTAAATGTATTTCACATGACATAATTGCATATTGAATGTTTTAGATCTAAGTTGTGATGATTGTAAATACACTGTATTTTTGTGTTTCAATGACAATAAATCTTCTTGATTCTTGATATTATATATGATTCTAACTTAAATAATACGATTATTACCCAAACACACCTAGGTGTTAGGACATTGCCAATAAACTCGATAAAATTAAAAGCTCTAGGTGCTGAAGATGTATATGTAGAAATTATCAAATCTGTTAGCCCATATGGATAAGGAGTAATTACACAATCATCAAATATGAGCCTGGCCTCTGGATTTTTTGCTAACAGTTGGAAGATTGCGTACGTGAAACCTTTGCCTAAAGCTGCTGCGCCAAAAACCAAACAGCAGGTAAGACCTATCTCTGTTTTACCTGCGATTTCAAAAATACTGCAGAAGATAGTAACGGAACAAATCGCTTTATTTCTATATGTCTATATGTGTTGTTGTCGTCACGTCGGAGGCATATAAAAGAAAAAAAAACAACAAATAAACAAATGATAGCTACACAAAACAACGATAAATGTTACAATCGTACTTTAACACGATCCGTCATAGCTACACAAAACAACGATAAATAAATACACAAATTTAAGATACTGTACAACCATACTAACAAAATCCATCTTGGAGGTTATGTTTACACAAACTCAAATAGTAAATAAATGTACTCGATGGGTTTCATTGAATTGAAAAATACCCCCGCCGCAGCAAACCTGCCGACTAAGCGAATTTCCATTTGTCTGAATTGATTTTCAGTTAAATATATATAAATAACATTAGGTTTAACGAGTACCTAGGTTTGCTGCTACAAGGAAACTAATAAAGTGTGTTTTTGAGTAAAATATTGATAGCTAAGTACAAAATAAATAAATTTGTCAAGTTTGATCAAAATATATCCATAAACAAGCAAACTACAACATTTGACAATATTCTCCATAAGAATAACATTTTTTTAATTTTCTCCGTTACTAATAATCGAACAAAAATACTTCTATATACTAAATTATTTGTTTTTTTAAGCTCTTTAAAAAGGTTTAAAGAGAATTCGGGAAATTTTGTATTTTGAGGGTCAAAAGTGAGAAAAACCAATTTTTACCCCATAAAACCCCCCGTAAAGCCCCGGTCCCATGGTCCGATCGTGCTGGTTCGCGAACTCATTCAAGTTTATCCCGCTTTACACCTTTAAACCAAATTTCATCAAAATCGGACAAAAATTACTCAAGTTATCGCGTTCACGGACGTATATATATATATATAAGTCTATATATATATATATATGTATATATACATATATAAAAATTTGAACGAATGGTGTTTTTGGCCTCTGGGGACATTAAAATGAAAAAGTAAATCGGTCCCGGGTCTAGGTCTTACCGTTGTTGAAACTTACCAAAGTTTCATGTAGCGTATTAATTATATAGATTTTCGTAATGAGCGACATTTCCTACCTGTAGGCTAAACGAAACGTGATACGTATATCTATATAATTAATACGCGAACACGAAGTTTGTCGGTTGAACTCCTCCGTCATTTCTTAACCGATTTTATCCATTGACGTATCATTGGAAATAGCGTGTCGCGTAGATTTGCAAACTGGCCTTGAACTGGATTTGAAAAAGTCCCTTGGGCTCTACCCCAGTGGCTTTGAAGGTTCCCATGTTATCCTTATGAAGATCATAATTGTTTAAATTTTGATCAGCTGTATAATTTAATTGCTGTCAATATTTAAACTGCATTTCAAAGAAAAGCGTCCTACAAAAATTAAATCTTTGAAAAATAAATCATTGAAAGAACCCATTTGCAAATTATTGAAACATTAAAAGTCATAGAACGCCCCCTAGTAGAAGAAATAGAGATAATATTTTTTTAAAGAATTAACTATCGTCATTAGCCTGTATAATGAAGAACACCTACAAGATTCAGATTCCTACAAACTATGAACGAGGATGTTAGCCGAAGTGCTACAAATTTTATTAGGAAACATGGACTTAACTTTGTAATCATTGCAGAGGAAAGCCCTCTAAAGCCAAATAAATCTGGTACGTCAATGACATTAATCTATGTTTTCATAAAAGTCAAGCAATTTTAATAATAGCCTATGAAAATATCCAAGAGCCCCTTACCAACATTTTACTGAAGGCTTTTAATTATTATTCATATGCTAAGGGAAACAAAAATCATCTGAACAACAGAAGGTCTTTAACTTTGCATTTCTCAGGTAAATATAATTAACGTTATTGCAACTAAACAAAAAATACACCAATCGAACAAATAAAATTGTGACAGACAATTTGATGAAAAATAAGAAGACAACGAATTTAACACAAACAAAAAACTAACATTTGGATTATGAGTTAAAATTCTGGTGACGCAATAACAACGATAAATATACAGAAAATCAAAACAAATTGAAGACTGGTACACAATCATCACATGTTTGATTTTCAGCGTGGGATGAATATAGATAAGTTCATATTTTATTTGGATTGTGGTCGAGTTTTGACCACTGGACGACATCAATTCTTATATTAAAGTACTTAACTCATTAAGGTACTTCAATAATACCTAAATGATAAATACCTTTTATTTAACTCAAATAAAACAATCTGGTATTAGGTATAGATGTATTTACTCAAAAACCTATTTCTATGATAATTTAGTCACGAAATCCAAATGTTTAGACCTATCTATAGATTATATCCGCTTGTTTGGATCATACAAGTCTAGATAGTATTTTTTAAATTTTAAATATGGTATTTTTTTATTAAACCCATTATGCACTACAGACATTTTGCGTACAATTTACTTTGCTAACATACACTCTCATATTTGTAACGGAATAAAGATTTATGAGGGAACAAGTAATTGTAACTATAATCAAATTTTATATTTACAAATGAATGCTACAAGATAAAACCTTAACCTGGATTAATACTGTTTAAATTTTTTCCGAAAATAGGAGATGAAAAATAGTGGAAAAAAAGGCACTACGACTTATTTGCGTTGTGCACCACGAATATTATGTAGAAAAAATTTCGAAATTTCGTACATACAGCTTAAGAAGTTAAGACTAAATATTTTTCATAGTTTAGAAATTTTAAAACGTGAACTAATACTGTATTTCCTTAATATTGTTGTTGGAAGACGGCAATTGCTAAAATACTGTGCGCGTAAACTAATTCATTCACCTCATGGTGGTCATCTAAGTCGATTATTGGACAAACTAAAAGTCTTACGAAAAAATGTTTGGAACAAAAATTGAAGAACATCTTATTATCTATACTTTTCTCGCTGAAAGTTTTCATCTGACCAAAAAATAAAAAAAATCCTCGCTCACTTACTTTTTCATGTTTACATTGAACAACCTTTTCATATTTTCCATTATTAAACATTAATCATCTGCACGAACTAAATTGTATTTATATAGTATTAAACATCAGTTTACGCAGAATTTAAATATGTAAATTTCATCCTCTCACTATTTTTATTACAATTTAGACGAACGTGCAAAGCGACAGGGAACGCACCACTTCGAATAATCTCGCCAACATCGGAAACTCTCTTCCAGCATGTGTGTGTGTAATGGGTGCGTGTGTGTGCGTACGTTATCGCTTCCTGCACAGACTGTACCCATTGTCACTTGGAGTTATGAAACTTGGTGTTATGAACCCTTGGAGTTTTGAAACTTGGACTTGTGGTCCTTGCAAATCTGTACGTTTGGAGTTATGAAATTTTGTATTTTAATTTACTTGGTTTTATTTTAACTTGGACTTATGAATCTTGGAGTTATGAACGCTTGGAGTTATGAAACTTGGTCTTATGATATTTTGGTTTTAATTTACTTGGACATAATTTTACTTGGAGTTATGAAATGTTGTATTTAAAAGTACTTGGAGTTATGAAAACTTGGAGTTATGAACCTCACCCACATTTATGTCGGTGGCGATGCTGATTCACGAGGATCTGCTGGAGTAAACCTCCCTCAAATGTTCCACTCAACGAATATCACCCACAATAAACCCCCCGGGGGAGGAATGATACTTTCATCTCAAATTTGATTTCTTTTTTTAACAGATACGTTTAGTTTAAAATAGTCCAAAGAAAAACGTCTCGTGATGAGTTTATATTTGTGCTATGTTTATAGTTTTAAAGACTGTTCAAAATATGTTTTGTAAAAATGGGGATAATTGAAAAATATTAAGAAATATTGGTTGCAAGGGTGGATTTTTTCAGTAATTTGGTAAAATTAATACTATGTTAAAATTGAGGATGGAAATTTAACACAACATAAGTGACAAAACAAAATCTTTAAAAGTTTAAGATATTTTGATAAGTTTTATCTTTACACAAAAACAAATCCAGCATATTCCTGCAGCTGAATGTATTTTAACACATGTTTGGTTATGTGACAAACTTTTATTCAAGCTAGTTCAAGGATATCATAATTGAAAATTGTTCTTCGTGTTGCAGTTTGTGAAACGCATCTAGTAAAATACGTAATTAGTCGTATTGCCTGATAATATTTGTTGAGATGTGGTATATTTACTGTTTCAATTACTGATTCAATATGATTAATACAAAGCAGTATGATTGAAGTTGGTGTGTTCTTTCTTAGGGACAAATAGTTTAAATCCAATCAATTGAATGTCTAAAAATATGTATAACAGATTTTACACAGATGATAGTGTAGGTATAATGATAACCATCTACCACGATAACCACGTTAAATTAATTTTAAAAAATTCAGTTTTGTTTACAAGTTTATTGTGATTTATTTTACTGTACGATTGTGGAAATTTTTCAGGTCTGGACCCCACGATTATTTTCTACATGGGCAACAACCGATCGAGGGACTTGGACCCTTCGGACGCCCATTTCGTCGACGTCATCCACACGGGGGCCGGGGTCCTGGGCCAGTGGGGACCCAACGGACACGCTGACTTCTACGTCAACGGGGGCACCAGTCAGCCTGGCTGCTTCAGTAACAGTCTTATACGTGAGTGGACCAAAACCTATAGAGTTAGTGGACTGATTCAGTGATGAACAACACAGCAGGATCCAGTAGAATCTCTTATGTGGAATGTCTTTTAGGAAACTGAAGTTAAAAGAGTGCGATGGTTAAAACAATGATGTAAATTAATGGCATGGGTGAAAATTGATTAACTGTACGAAATGGATAAAATTAATTAGGCAGATTTAATGGATACAAAAGAAAAAGTGGGAAAAATAGTTAAACCAGCTGAAATAAAATGGGTGAAATGTACCAAATCTTAAAAATCGAGGAATGAAAATTAATCTGCTTGGAAGAGTGCTGGCTTAAAACATTGTCGGTTTTCGTCAGAAGGGTACAGGAAACAAAAACACGACAAAAAACAGCCAACAATAGGGTTGTAAGTCGTAAATGCACCGACTGATATTCAGTCATGGCTTTTAACTGATTGGTACTCAACATTACCACAATTTAGTTATAAAAAAACATTCAAGCAGAAAATTACACAAATTTAAGATCGTCAAAGCAATTTAGTTTATTAATTAATTGAAAATCTGTTTTCTCTATTAGTTTGTCTATTACAATACCAACTTACTAAATCATGGGTTTCGACATGTTGGGTAACACCTACTTTAAAATGTGTTGTTGTTGATATTCTTAGTACAGTTTGGTAGGAGACTAACTTTGAACCCGTATTCTTTGGGCGGAGACTATTTTATAGAACGATTTGACCAAGAGGTCAGCATATGTACATTAAATATATGGTATTACTTTAAACAAAACTGCCTTTTATCTAAAATTATTTTTATAAAATTCAATTACATCCTGTTCCACTAACAAGTATTTGTTTGCAGGGACGTTGTCATGCGATCACACCAAAGTGACTCCGTACTTCATAGAATCCATCAACTCCGAAGCCGGGTTCTGGGCGGTGCCTTGCTCCAACCGCTTCCTCTTCAACTTGGGTTTCTGCAATCCTCCGGTCCAAGACTGGGTCCTCATGGGGGAAAATGCTAACCCTAAGTGAGTATGATGGAGGAAACATTCGATGGCACACTCGGTGTCTAGCACTCGCTGGTGTCTAGGGCAAAGTACAACATCCCTTGCCATCATGTAATACAACGCTGGATTGGAGGAAGACCCTGAGAGCCCTGTGCGATTTGAATTTCCACACAGTACTTGTCTCTTGGGTTCTTCCTTGCTGAAAGTGCAAGGTCGTAGTTGTCCCATTAGCTTGTTTCCTGTGTACCTTACTTCTTTGTGGAATGAAGTCCATTGAGGTTTTGAGAGTACATTCAGCGATGAAAAACATTATTTATTGCATTTTTGGGGAAAATGGAAGGAATAACATGATGGTTGTTTTCCTATGACAGTTAATGTGGGGACCTAAAACTAGGTTAACAATAGATGAAACATACTCCTAAACGCAGTTTTAACGCAGTTTCAGATAGATATCGATGTTTCTGTTATTTCAGTGTTTTAAGTCTGTTCATCTCTGTTACAGGATTCGAGGAATATTTTACCTCACGACGAACGCAAACCCTCCTTACGCTCAAGGTCTTCCAGGACGAGCGAAACAGAGGACATCAAACAGAAGACAACGTCAAACACCTAGGAAAACGTAGCCAAGAGTCCAAAAGTGGAAGATATCGTATTTATTTCAAAACTTAAGTGTAGATGACATATAAACTGAAGACAGTAACGTCTTAAGAGAAACGAGGCAACCATTCCTTTTTCCATAAAGTTATGGCATTAGAAGTAATTATACCCATAAAATGAAAGCTGGTGGAAGTATTTCAAGAAAATACAGCCGTTGAAGACATTGGAATTCTGCTAGGGTATAAGCCAACACTAAATCGTACGTCAAAGAAGACAGCCAACTTCAATCAATTGAATCAGGTAGTCATCAGTTGAAAACTGAGGAAATCGTAGCCAACAGAGCACACTACAATGATATAGGAGACAACTGAAGTCTTCCACGAAAATGAAGTCAACAGAAACTGACTCATTCAAATCTTTGAATTTGAATGAGTCAGTTTTTCATCGAACTAAGATATATTTTACCCTAAAGGTTTAGCCATAAAGTTTGGCGAAGGTGTTGCAAAAACTTTAGCCAATATAAGGTCATAAATAAATCAGTATTCTGCTAACAGAAACGTGATTAAATCTCATCTGTGATTTTGAAGATGTTGAATTTGAAATCAACTACAATTAATTGTTACTGCAGTCAAAGACTATAGTATTTACCAAAAAGTTTGCTAAGGGATTGTTTCAGTGCCTACGATAAGTGAGGTTTACTTCGTGAAAGTGTATGACTCATATAGTACTCATCAAAATTATAAATCATTTGTCACGGCACCTAGCCCTAATTAATTGTTGTACATAGCTTCAAAATACGTAAGTGATTTTTCATCTCCATGACAAAAGGTTGAACATTCATCAAAGAGCAAAGTTCAAAATTCATTGTGTATTTTTAGTTAGAACATTTGTATAGTAATAGGTTAGGTTGAGAATTTTAGTTTTAATTTAATACTCCTATTAGTGTTTGTAAATATTCACTATTTATTGTGTTAGGATTTCGTAGAATTGTCTAGTGCCTTGCCATGTACTTAGTCAATAAACGTATTTCCATGTAATGTGTTTTATCTCACACATTTAAAATATATCGTATAAAAATGATTTATTCAAATTTTTAACTTATGGTACTGTAGTCGAAATTGACTACGAGATACCTAAGAATACATAAAAACAACTAACAATAACTGCAGATACATTTTCCTCATTACTATTATTATACTCAACTTTATTTTTAGTTGTAAAATAACTTCAATATGTTTACGATGACAATATTTATGGTTTTGAAAGGTAACCGTTGATTTTGTTAACAGTTTGAGAATTGAATAATTTAATAGGTGTTTTGTGTTTTCCTTAACATCCGTATGGCCTAAATATTTCTAATATCAATACCAATTTACCAGTACAATGTATTTAGGCAGTATAGCATTTATATTTGAAACATGAAGTGTTTTTGGTCGGTTTCTAATCTAGTAGTTTTGAGTTTGGAGCTAATGGAACCGATTAAATTTTTTGGATCATATTCTTGACCAGTGAAAATGTTTTAGTGGATCAAAGATAAGAATTTAGGCATACAGAAAATCGAGTCTTTTCATTGAGATTGTTCAGGTATTTCTAACAAAATATACTTCCAATAGAAAAATAATCAGAAAATTCAGATACTCTTTTGGATACTTGAACAAGGTTAAATAAAGCACACAATAGAGTTCAACATTTACTAAACATGTCATTGGCTATTATGTACAGAGGAACACATAATTTTAAACGTGGCTTGTACGCCATATTGCCTGCACTAGGATATGACAGCTGTAGGGGAGGGGGCGGGCGTGCAGGGCGGCAATTGACTTTCCTCCATAGAGTATGAAATACAAATCCACAGAGTTATACGGAACAGTAATAGCACATTGAAAAGTCGAAAATAGTCCGATGAAATTGTTACATAAGTGGTTAACACGACTATTGGATTTTCTGGATACATTTTCTTGACAGTGAACTGTGAACGAAAAATGATATTTTTTTAAGTGAAATGAGTTTGGGGAAATCCATTCGCTGTGTTCTTTCACACAGTTTAAGTTGGGGTGGGAAAAAGATTTGTTAATCAGTCTTCCTTATATTTTTTTTTCAAAAAAGTTTGGTCTTGAAAATAGGTAAGTAGCCCTTATTTACAACGATTTTCAATTTGTTGATTTTTAACCAGTTTGATCAGTATTAATTGTTTTGAAAATACTTTTATAAGGTATACCTGTCATAGAATATCAAAATGTTTTCGTTTTTGTATGCTAGTTCTTCCATACCATACTTCAAACAAAAACTCAGATAAATTGGTTAAAATTGATGTGCCTTGACTTCAATAATCATTGTCAATGATTCAGTAGGTGTGTAAGTGGATGAAATCATGATAATATATTACTTTAAGACTTTTGGTGTTTTTAAATGAACCTAGTTTTAAAACATCCTTATTTCGTGCATATTTATCTCATTTTACGTTACAACACTAACAAACGTCACTTGTCAAAACAAATACAAGAAAACGTATCCAGAAATCTTTGAGAAACACATATAAAACAAACAGCAAAACCTGCAACGTCCGCGTAGGCTTATATGAGTGGAACCCGAGTAAACGACACGTATAACCAACAAGACCAACATCCTATTATTGCTGACAGACGACGCTACGTCAGAATTCAGAATCGAGAATGACCACCGTTCGAGCCTTCGAATAACTCGTAATAAACTATGCGAAACAAAAACACTTACAGTAAGACATCGATAATATTTACAGTATTTACAGAATTGGGGGTTTGTAAAAAAAAAAAAAAAAATACTACGGAAAGTTCAGTTTTGAAGAGTTATGTATCATGAACATTGCAATAAAAAGTCACTTTGGGCGAAGTAAAATGATTTACGAGAAGTCATTTAAATTGGAACAAGAATTGAAGTCTGAAGTTGTGTTTCTAAAGTACATGGTTGAAGCTACAAAAACGTTCAGAATTTTTTTTGCTGAACATATATTGAACATATAAATAAAAAGCTCGCTATAACAAATAAACATTTGAAACCATATCGTAACATTTAACATTCACTATTCCACTAAGTTTAATTGAAGAGAGGGCGGGAAATTTTTTTTCTACTCTAACATTTACAACAAATGTACACTTGAAGTGATAAGTTTTGCTCTAAATGGTTTACAGATAATTTGGGTGGGTTTTATGTACAAATTTTAGAGAGTTCTCATTGTGAAAGAAATATACAAAATGTTTGTAATACTCCACCTCTCTTAATTGTGATTGGGTAACTAAAAAGCCATAGGGAAAGTTTAAACTAAATTATTTTACACCTTTCTTGTTTAACATAGACATAAAATATAGTATTGATAGCTAAAGTCACTACTCTTCATTTACACTTGATTTCTTCTCACTTGTGCTTAAATTACATTGAATGTTATAGTTATATATACAATATTAAATGCTATTACTATGGTACAACGTGTCTTAAACCTAATACAAGTTATGTTTATAACGTCCTTGTAAAAATTATAAATTGTAGCTGTGATTTTTTAACAAGTGCATTTTCTCACTTTTAATACAATGTGCAGTGCAACCAGTGCCGAATTGATTATCTTCGAATTTTATATACTTTTACAAATTCAAAATTGATCCCTCGTTACCACCTAAATCGTATTGTCCTTTGTAGTTGGTTTACATTATTGTCAAACTATTGCATTGGATTACCAAAACGGACAAATATCTACGCAGCCTTTCCATAAAAATATCCGTTTACAAAAGTCATTTGTATCTCACCCAAATATTCATCGTAAAATATTTATAAAACTAATCGTAAGTTGAACCTTTTAATGAAATATTGTTTCGTTTTATACCAACAATATCCATCGTGCAAAGAAATCAATTTTTTTACAAAACGACTTGCATGAAAAATAAAAAACAACAATATTTCTTTTGTAAACCTCTGTCCATCTAAATATTTTTATTTAATGAGTCAATTTGTTTTGACAACTGTTTAGTTAACATTAACATTAACTTGAAAGTCTGCAAAGTATAGAAAAGTAGGTGGTTCATCAGAATATTCTACATCGTTAGAATTAACAAAGATTTTTAGAATGTTAATAATTTCATACGTTGTAAATGTTGCCTCAAATTTAAAGCTGACTGGACAAAAGAGGTTTACAAGATCAAACAAATAAATATTTAAATCCTAAAGATAATTTGAAATTAAAGTAATGTGATTTGTGCTGCTAGTGCAATAGACCGTGCATTGTGTGAGTTCATGATGCAAAAGTGAGAGTACAGAGTGCTCAAAATGTACCCAAAATGTGCTTAAAATGTGCTAAATTCTATGATTTTTCGTATTTTAAAAACTTAACTTACTTTGTAGATGTAAATTTAGATATTTTATTTAGTCTGTTATAAAGAACTCATCTTCAGTTTGTTTTTAAACTCACTGTCAGTTCTCCATCAACAACAATCTCCATCATTTTAGTGGATGCACTTTTTTGGTTTCATTAGAAAGTGAATAAATTAATTTTAACGATTTAAGTGTTTCCTTTTGGTTAGTCCTTTTAGATTTGGTTTAAAAATTATTTTCAGGAATAAAATTTGTTATAATACAAAGGTACAATCTACAATTTACCAAGCATTCGAGAGTTTTCACTTCGTTTAGTTTAGAAGACCCGCAAAGTAGGAGACAAAACTATTTAAGCCAGCCAGGACAGTCAAAATTGAAAATAAAAAATTGTCTTACAATGCGTTAAATATATTGAGTCAAATTATGTGTTTTCACTAGTAGTTATGAATTAATTCATTTTAGCTATAAGTGCATTAGTATTCAAGTATTACTTTTAATTACTTATTTACTAATATATACAAAATTACTTAACGTTATTGTTATGTATACATCAATCTCTATACTACGTGCAAAGGGTTGTGCAATTGTGCATATTTAACATGGGTGTGCAAAGGGGTGTATTAGTGCGTGTAGTGCTTAGGAAAAGTGCTTTCAACAGAATTACCCTGGAAACATGCATAAGGAAAATAATCTAGTTAAATAACACATTTAACTGTGCTACATGGAAAAATATTTAAATTGATTTACAATCAATAAGTGTACAGATATTTATAAAAAAATCCAAAAAAACACTCTACTAAAAAAGCTAAAAAGTAAATGTCAAATATTTGCTGCAATTTTGAGTCGGAAAGGTTCAACTTGTTAAAAGCACATTATTGTATATTTTTTCTATTACTAACTCTAATGCTAATCTTAATTTAAGTTTTCCTTAATTCTAATTATTGTCAACACAGCCTTTTAGTCGCTTACTTCGCGTTTTATTAAAATATCTGACCCACTAGCGACCCCTACGCATGCTGCAAAAGGGTTACCTAATGTGTAATGTTAAAATGTTATGAAATTCAAATAAAACTTGGTATTTTTACTAGAGAAATAACTATATCCACCTTTATCCCCTCATCTGTAACATATATTTTGCAAACGCTTATGTACTCAAAAAATTAAGTCAAGAAAAATATTTATTATTGGGTCAACCCTTTTGCATTACAATGCGTTGAAATGCAATAAAATAAAGCTCTCACATTTATTTACAAACACTGTCAATCTACAATAATTAAACAATAAACATATTTACAACAAAAATAACAATACTTTATCTATATCACAAAAAATATACCTTATAAAAACGTTAAACAACAAATTATTTAAAAATAAAACTAAAAACACAACAATTGGTAACAGTAGTTCACCATTATATAAAATAAGTTAAACATTATCAAATCTATAATTTTAAAACGCAGCATAAATAAAATACAATTAATTAAACTATTTACTTCGTCAACGTTCCTATTGCACACATTTACGAACTGAGCTAATATCTGACCAATTACAGATGATAAATCGCTGTATACCTCAAATACTAGTAATAAACGTGTAAATTATTGTCTTTCAACGCAATCATTTATTGTCAAGTCAGTAAATATAATAAAAATAAAACATCGTACAAACAACAACATTGATCCTTTACTCTAATTTGTCCCGATAATGTAGACTGTTCAGCAGTGTTATCAGTGCTGGTTTTATTTTATAAGGAGGAAATTAATATTCTCTTGATTTTGGAAAATAGTAAGTACGTAAATAAATGTTTTCTCTTGTGATTTTGATTAAGGTAATATAACTCTTTTCATGCCTCGATACCCTACTAGGCCTAATTAGTTTTTAATAATGAACATTTGATTACTTAAGGAAAATTGAGGGGATATAGATTTAAATTCAACATCTTAGGAGGAACACAGTTTTATTAGCAGAGCCTCCTTTAATGCAAGACGTGGCAACGTCGCACAGGCCGGCCTACTGCAATGGTAATGATATTAACGCAGACGTAAACTTTATGCAGACGCTCCATATGAATTAGAGCAACAGCTGCTTCAGTAAGCCGGGACTGCGACGTTGCCACATCTGCTTCTCCAAGGCCTTGTATTAGAGGAGGCTATGGTCCAGTATTAGTAATGGTTGTACTCTTTATTGTATACATAGAATACATAGAGTACCTAAATAGCCAATGAGACAAATGCATTTTATCATTTCCATACACATTGAGTCCGCATCAGTTACATATTTTGCTTTGTGGTCAAAGAATCGCTATTTGAAATTTTCCGTTATATTCTCACAAATTAATCGTAGCAATGAGCAAAATACATCAGTGTAAAGACTATTTAACCTCTTATTGCGTATATTTTAAATAATAGTTTTATTCCAACCAAACATTGAAACCTATGAACATCTTTATCGGGGCAATTCTACCCTATTAGGCGTACTGGAACCTCTGTACATTCACTATATTGTCTTATAAGTGTGCGAAACACTTCGAATAAACATTAACACGCAAAAAGGCATTACGATATTCTTAATTCTGAACTCTGAAGCGAACATCCGAGCCCACAAAATGTGGACTTTGAAAATAAAGATAGGTGAATGCGTGTCTTCTATGTATATTCAAACATTTGCAAACTGTTTTTCAATAATCTAGAAACTCTAAGTAATTGATTGCATGGAAAACGAAATAGTAGTAATAATGAATCTGTCTGGAGGAATAGGAAAAATGGGTTTACTACTATTTAGAGAGTATTAAATATAACTAAGCAAAAACAAAATAATTAGATAAAAGTAAAAGATTAAATATTGTGTTTTAACCAAGTAAAGAGCTGCATTTTCACTATCGACAGATAGTAATATGTCAACTTAAAAGTTTGGTATTCAGTAGAAGACCACGCATTCCCATTTTAGCAAATTTACAGCTTTGGAATGTTTACAAAGGAAGCTTAAAGTTTTCTAAAAAAGTTTATGACTACTCGCAGAACGTAATTTACAAAAATATTTTCTCAAAGCATTTCACTCAAATTACCTTCAAGGGGTTTACAGGAGTGTTCTAAGGAAATATTATAAAATCAACATCACATGGACTAATCCAGTCTTTAAAACAGCATGTTTGTGATACTTAATACAAATGACTAGTTTAATATTAAACAGTAGAGTTTATAACATTTTGAGAACCTACGTTACTGTAAAGTTTAATTTTGAAAAATATTCATCGATTATTTTAAAGAAATAACAGTCTTATGCATAACACTAAACTAGTTTAACAAATGAACAATGATCATTTTACTGAAATACATACACTATAATGGAATGTGTGCTAGTTATTTTGAATTGAAATTGAGGGAATTAAATTTCACAATTATTCACTTGAATGTGCGCCTGACAAAAGATGTACTGAAATTGTATTTACTATTTAGAAATTCTTTGAAAATATTAATTATTTAACAAAGTTAATTAAACATCGGCGATTCGCACACAGTTATTTAGGTTCGAAAAAATAACTTTTACCTATATCTATTATGATACTTTATTCGCTAATCCTTCTAAATGATATAGATTATATAGGCTAAAACAAAATACACCGTTGGTCAAGAAACTGTAAAGCAGGTGAAACCTATTCATGAAAATACATTTAAAACAATAAATAATACTATAATGTATTTGAATAAGAAGCTCGTAAAAATTACAAATCACCTATAAAAGGTAAATTGATTTGTTTTCATTTTGGTTCTGAAAAGTAAAAGTGTTTGCAGAATGTAAAAAGATTGTTGTCAAAAGATGTTAACAGCTGAGTGGGATGCTTCGGCTTTTGAAAATGTATACTTAAATGTTACATAAAGTGTATGGTTACTGTTTAGTTGGCAACAGGTCTAAAAAACCAAGCCTACAATCTCTTGACCATTATTTAGTTCGACATATCGTATATGCTTATTGGTTGTGCCACCAGCTGCGTTATCTTATCACTTTCAAACGCAACTGTCTTTAAATTATAGCAAAAGAATTAAACCCATGAAGTTAGCACCACATTTTAGATTTCAAAACAATAAGTGGTTCAGACACTCGGATCAATACAGGTTTTAATATTTAGCTTTTTTCCAATTCAATTACAATACAACATTTTACGGCCAATTTTTCCCATATAATTGTTTTCCTATCAGAGTACTTTCGATTTAATTTCTTATCAATTATGTCTCAGAGTATTACTGTAAATGTAGTGACTAAAAACGAAATAAAAGAAATTTGGGAGGAAGGTTTTTGCTGTGATAGGTTTAAAAATGATCTTTCTTGTCTTGTGTTTTAAGTATTCGTCATTAAAATACTGTCGTAGTAATTTGATCAAAATGTAGTACTCGTAAATTGCCGAAGCTGATGTTTCTATGTTTTTACACATTACTCCAGGCTAGACTCCGAGACCTTTGGGACCGAAGTTCCACCACATACTACCCTATACTACTTATCTTTCTAGTTTTAACGTGTTCTTAATCAAATACTTTTTTTAAGTAGTGCTATAATCTTGTATTTTGTATTTCAACATTTTACCATTTATATTCCAAACCACCCCAGCGTTTTCTGGTGGCACAACCAATAAGCCTCCTTTTCAGTACTTTGGTTGGAGGGGGACTAGGGATCTAGTACCCCTGGGGGTCGTGCATATACGAGTCCCTACTCTCCGGCTGTACAGCCTCTGTCATCACGTGATTCGTGTACCCGAACTGCGCCTGGTCCATGGACCCGTAGTTCAGGGTGGGTTGGCGGAAAGGGTTCGTCGACTCGGGCTGAGCGAAGGGGTTGGTAGTCGGCAGCTGAAAAATCATGTGTTTATTAATTGTTGCTATCCTCATAGTTATCGAGAACCGATTGTCATATCACTAGATTACAAGAGATATAGCTAAAAAAGTGAAGAAAACCTAGAACTCACAGCAAAGGTCACTTGTGGGATAGAAAGGTTATATGGAAGGTATCTTGACACGATGCAGAAGCTTTGATGAATTAGTTAAAATACGACTTAAATTGTTAGAATCATTTTGATGGCCTCTTAATGGAACATACTTATAACGTCAACACTTGTTACCATAATAAACTTCTATTTCATGCACAATCCTCATGTAGAAAACAATTTTTTCACTTTAAACAATATTTACCCTTCATAATTAAGTTTTTTTTTTTTAAATAACAGTATTTCAATGACCACTATAAGGACGAAAAATCACAATTAAACACTTCGAAACTTTGTCAGGCTTTATAGAGACAAGTTTGATGGAATTAAATTCATTTGAACAATGTTCGGTTACGAGTTTTACTCTTCGACATAAAATTTGGAATTTACTGAAGTTACCATAAGTTCTCATAATTCTATAAGGATTAAATCAATCCTTGAAGACTGTTTAGTGTTGAACTAGAATAATGTATTCAAAACACAACAAAGTTTACCTTAGCTGGTGGGCTGGTAATGGAACTCTCCATAGGGTCCCACTGGGGCTTCGCCCCCTCCATGGGATCCCATGGTTTCTTGATCTCCTCGGCGCCGTCCTCCGCCCAAGGCTGGAGCTCCCCTGAGGCGTAGACCGCGTAGAACGTGACGCCTATGAAGTGAACTGTGGCGGCCAACAGGAACACGCGCTTCCAGCTCTCGTGGGTCTGGGGATAGACAGGGTGTTGTTATATTGTAAAAGGATATAAAGAAGAAAAGAGAGAAGGAGAGAGAGAAGAAGAAGAGAGAAGATGAATGGAGGGGAAGAATGATATGATACTAAGAAGGAGAGGATGAAGAAGAGAATGAAGAAAAAAAGAAGAGAAAGAAGAAATAGAAGAAGAAGGTAATAACATAAGGATACAACGAAGAAGAAGAACTTTAGCTACATCCAAAGACACGTAGACGAATCCTTCAAAGACACTCGATGACAATTACACACCAGTAAAACACTATTAACCACACTCAACCTCTTTGAACTGTTTGACAAAATTAATGACACTTGGGCTATATGTTTCAGAGAAACGAAGGATCTCCTATATTTTATAATTAACCCTTTTAGTGCTAGGCCATTAATTCGTATTTCGTAAGACTTTTTTCGAAATAATTTAGTATATCAAAGTGTTTTTGTAATACTATGCAAACCCACAATTCCCCCTCCCCCCCCCAAAAAAAACAAAAAAAAACACATACAAAACCCAAAAAACACTTTGATATACTAAATTATTTTTTTTTAAGTTGAGATTATTCGTGTATACTTGACATTTTAAAATAAGTAAGCAAATAGTGACTAAGTCCTTGACTTTTCACTCACATGTAAACTTTGTTTTGTTGTATTGTATTGCTCTTTGAATCACAATAATGTCCTTACTAAAACATTAGAAACCATTAGAATTCTGTGGTGTTTGGTTGAAACACGCATTATAATCTTACTGATTTTGGTAAATATTTTTAGGAACGAGAAAATAAAATAAAAAAAACCAAGCAACTAAGAGTGTTACATTAACCTAAGCAAAAAGGGGATAAATATATCACTCCTGACGTAAAAATCTTATAGCTATGTTTTAAATACAAATAAAACAACTCATACCTGATTTTCGGTAATGTGATCTATAGCTATTGGGCAGATGAGGCCAGCGATGGTGCCAATACCGTTCGACATCCCCATGAGAATACTAGCGTATCTGGGAGCGATGTCTAGATGATTCACGTTGAAACCTGCATAGAACAAGTTCATACCAACTATCAAAATAGATAAGCAATATTATTCAGAAGCAATAACCACATACCCGATGTAAGATTGGTACGATTGTAGCTATACATTTCCTAATATGTCAGGTTATTTTGGTTTAGAATTTACTACATTTGATGCATACCACGTATGTTTTACCTGATATCGCAAAACCGCTGAAGGCTACGCCGAAGGTGAGAGCTAGCGTAGCGGCGAAGGCTGTGCGCGCGTAGGCCACCACTATGAAGAACACCGCCTCCATCCCGAAACCACCACAGTTGAACACCTAAAAAGCCACATACACCAAATTTTAAATACGTTGAATACGACTAAAGTTTAACAAGCTTAAAAACCTATGTACCATGAATGTATGTTGATAAATCAGGTGTGAGTGTGAGAAGTCTTTTGATATTCGTACAGGATATTTTCTATTCCCCAGATACGAGTATTATTTGAGAGGAAAAATACAACCATTGCAAAGTCTCTATTGGCTAAAACTCTCACCTTTCGGACATTCGTGGTGGTCATGATGCCTTTCTTTCGGATGTGATCGGCCAACATTCCCCCGCAAGGAACGATCACCGTCATCAGCAGATGTGGTAGAGCGCCAACGAAACCAGTCTGACACAGTAGTATTAGGGTTAGTTGCTTACAAAAATCGTCCGACAGTAAACATCAAATGGATGGCAACTTTTGCAAGACTACTGAAATACATCACAGTTTTTATCTAGAATTTCTACTTTAATTTATCAACATTACAACAAGATTGGAAGAGTGGGGATGACCAGTGCATGACACGCTAGCAAATCGGCTCCGTTAATTAACTCATTTTTACTGGTAAATTTTAATCGGTAAACTACAATATTTATCTGCTGAGTGTAATTAAGAACTGTGTTTACCGTTATCGTAAGTGTTGCGCATAAAGTGCAGTGAGTTCTTCGTAATATTGAAGAATTTTTGGCCGGGGTCGATCAGTGTGTGGTCGTTATCAGTGAACGCCATTATGACTGAGGGAGTCAAGATAACGACGCGTGGCACTGCCAAACTTAATAAAGGTGAGCTTGAATCAACGTCGCCATCACTTCAATCTATAGACACTAAACTTAATAGTATTTTACAAATTCTTGAGAAGAATTCTAATGACATCGTCGAAATTAAAAAAGAACAAAAAGACATGTGTGAATCTATTGAGTTATGCCATGCAACCATCAATGACTTTAAACAATTAATATCTACTCAAGATTTGAAGATAAGAGAGTGTGAAAACGAGGTACAGAAGACTAAGAAGGACACTTATAAATTCGGGAAATCGGTTGAGAAAGTGCAACGTGAAGTTCGTGATCTTGAACAGTATTCACATAGAAACAATTTAATTATTTACGGTATCCCGGAGGACAACAATGAAAAAATTATGTTCGTTATAAGACGGTTAGCAACTGCTCTACACTTCCAAGATTGGTCGGAGAAATTAGTTGATGCTGTACATAGAATGGGGAAGTATGAACCTACGAATACATCGCCGAGGCCTATCATCATTCGCTTCGTCAGACGTCTGGACAAGGACGCTTTTTTAAATAAACGTAAAGAACGCCGCAATCTTAAAGCTTCGGACCTTGGCTTCAGCAGCGAAGACTCGATCTACGTCAACGAGTCATTGACGCCAGAGAACAGGGACCTGCTGAAGAAGACGCGTGATGCGGCGAAGGCCAAGGGCTACAGCCAGGTGTGGACGGCGAACTGCAGCATCTTCGTGCGACGAAATAAGGACACTGATGCTATCAAGATTAGGTCAGACGTGGATATTGACAGCATGTAAAACAATGACTGTAATTGTAAGTAATCAAATGCTTAATTTATATTTTAATAATCTATTTCATAATTTATTTACATCAAATTTATATACAATGCACGTTAAACTTCTTTATAAGCATTTAATTAAATTATTTTTGCATGAATACAATTCTGTTTATCTATTTATACATGCTATTCTTCGACTTCTTAAATGTTATGTTTTATTTATTATTTATATTTCTATTTATTGCTGTATTTATAGTCCATTAAAAAAAAAATAGGAATTTTCTCTATGTTATTTATGTTTTTATTAAAACTTATTAATGGTAAATAATGATTTTGATAATATAGTTTACTACCAAAATGTCAGAGGTCTGAGAACAAAATCAAACATTTTTTTTAGTAACATCTTAACAAGCGATTACAAAATTGTGTCTCTAACAGAAACAAACCTACAACCTGGTATTAATTCATCGGAATTTTTTCCTGATAGTTTTAATGTATTTAGATGTGACAGAAATTTAGAAACTTCAGGCCGACAGGGAGGAGGGGGAGTATTGTTAGCCTTAAGAAATGATATATTGTGTAACGTAGTCGACATTTTTAATGATTCAATTCCTGGTTGTGAAAGTGTTTGTGTAAAAGTTGTAAATAGCAAGGGGAGAGGATTGTATATTTGTACTGTTTATTTCAGGCCAAGGTCACCGTTAGTAGCATACCAAAGATTTTTTGATTGTTTTTTACAGTTAAATTCATTATCGAACTGTGATATTATTGTATTAGGTGATTTTAATATTTCAATCTATGGTCAGGACTTTTGCTTGGATCAAGGTGACAATATATGTAAAGAATTATTTATTTTTTTGAATTTGCATGGTTTAAGTTTAAAGAATGATATTCGTAACTTTCAAAATAAGACATTGGATTTAGTCATATCAAATTGTGAGGAAGTAGTGGTGACGAGAAGCGGTGAACAATTAGTTAGTGAAGATCTTTATCATCCGGCTTTGGAGGTAATTGTTGTGTTGGCTACTCCGTTATCTGGTCGTTCAAGGTCAACCCAGTCAGCTGGTTATTGTTTCAGACGAGCCAATTTTCTACAAATATACGAAGATTTACAACAGGCTGACTGGTCAAATTTATATTCTATTTTGAACGTCGATGATGCTCTAGATTGTTTTTATAGCACACTTTATGAAATAATTGATAAAAACTGTCCATTAAAGAAAAATAAAAAAGCAAAATATCCCTTTTGGTTTACTCCTTCTATTATTTACAATTTAAAACGTAAAGAAAAACTTAGAAGAAGGTGGAAAAAAGTAAACACTGATGAAGCTTATAACTTATTTAAAGTCCAGAGAACAGCAGTAAAAAATGAAATTGATCTAGCATATCGCAATTATGTAAATGGAGTGGAAGATAGTATAAATGTTGATAGCAGTAAGTTTTGGAATTTTATTCAAAGTAAAAAATCTGAACGAAATAAAATTATGATAATGGAGCACAATGGAGTAAGACTGGATAACGGAAGAGCGATTGTAAATGCATTCGCGGAATATTTTAGTTCTGTGTACGAGAGTTACACTACAGAGCCTAGTGTGGAGTGCGCGGTGGAGGGGCCGTGTCTGGCCGGCGCGTCTTGCCTCACACTGCCTCGCCTCAGCTGTCAGGATGTGCAGGACGCCATCAAACATTTAAAATCAAAATGCACTACTGGTCCAGATTTACTCCCACAATATTTATTTAAAGGTTGTTCTGAATTTTTAGTTGGGCCTTTAGAATATTTATACAATTTAAGCTTGAAAACTAATATATTTCCCGAAAGATGGAAAACAACCAAAGTAACTCCAATTTTTAAGAGTGGAAAAAAATCCAAAGTCTTAAATTATAGACCGGTAGCAGTGTTATCTGTACCGGCGAAGATATTTGAGATTATTATTCACAAATATTTATTCAGACATTTTCAAAAATACATTTCAAATTACCAGCATGGGTTTGTCCCAGGAAGATCAGTCAACACAAATTTATTAAATTTTACTAGTTACGTTTCCTCTGGTCTGGATTCTGGGGCTCAGACAGACACGTTATTTCTTGATCTGGCCAAAGCGTTTGATAAGGTTGACCATTCAATTTTGTTGCAGAAACTGCATTGGTATGGCATGTCAAATGATTTATTGCATTTTTTCAAATCTTACATTGTTAATAGGAAACAATTTGTTTTCTATCATGGATTTTCCTCTGCTGTATTTAATGTCCAATCTGGGGTTCCCCAGGGTTCGAATCTAGGGCCTTGTCTTTTTACAATACTAATTAATGATCTAAGTGACTGTATTTTAAATTCAAATTCACTTCTATTTGCCGATGATTTAAAAATGTTTAAGCATATCAATAGTCTTGATGATGCAAATAGCTTACAAGAAGATCTTGACAATGTTTATAGGTGGAGTGTTTCAAACAAAATGACTTTTAATGTTTCTAAATGTCAACTAATGACTTTTACTAGGACTACAAATTTTTTACGAAATGACTATTTTTTAAATGGCATTTTAATTAGTAGAGTAAACAAAATTAAAGATTTAGGTGTTCACATGAATTCTGCACTATCTTTTAATTTTCATATTGAAACATGCATTGCTGCTGCAAGTAAAATGTTGGGGTTTATAATTAGACAAAGTACAAATTTTAGAAACATTGAAACATTAATTATGCTTTATCATTCGCTGGTCAGATCAAGATTAGAAACCTGTTCCATAATTTGGAATCCATATCATTTACAGTTTAAAGATGCTTTAGAGAAAGTCCAGAAAAAGTTTTTAAGATTCTTATTTTACAAATGTTTTAATATTTATACGTACGATGTTCCATACCATGATTTATTACAACTGTTTGGGCTGCAGAGTCTAGATCTGAGGAGAACGATCATAGGTCAGGTGTTCCTGTACAAACTGGCGCGTGGAGAGGTTGACGACGCTGCTAGCCTGGCCGGCCTGTCTTATCGCGTACCTTGCTTCAATAGTAGAAACAAACATCTCTTCTCGTTGCCCTACAGTCGCACCACTGCCCATGCCTCCTCCCCCCTCTATCGATTAATGAAAGACTACAATTACGTAATAAAAAAGTGCAATAATATTGATATTTTCTCTGACAACATAAACAATTTCAAATTGAAATTAAAAACAGTATTAATCAATCAGTAAATTAATTTATTATCAGTATTGTTAATTTATATATTTTTCGTTGTTCTATTTATTTTTACTACTCAGTATTTATATATTTATATAATTTATCATTGTTAATCTTTTTTAAATATATATACATTGTTGTTATAGTTATTGATAATTTTGTTTTTATGTTAGTATTAAATGCATGGCATGAAAGTGTAAGTAAAAATGAAGTGAAAATACAAGAAGAAACCCACTGAAGCAATAATATTATAAGTGCATGAACTGCTTCAATGTAAATGGTCTTTAAACTGTATTGAAGCATGTAAATAAAATAAAATAAAATAAAATAAAATAAAACAAGGTAACATCAATGACATTACTATGACAGAAGATTGTCACTGTCGGAAACCAGCAAACCGAAGATCCATCTAGAAAAATACATACACCATGGCACATTCTAATTATTATCCCGTGAAAACAAATAAATAAAGAAGTTATATAGTTGTAATACCCCCACCAAACTACATAACATCAAATATTCAATCTCACCTCCTCGATTTGCAAATGGAAGTTGTGCTGCAAGTAGCTGGCCTGGAAGAGCACGAGCAGATAGAAGTTCCAGGACCTGCAGAAGTTGGCGACGATGATGGCGTAGACGGGCATGGAGGTGAAGAAGGCGTGCCAGGGTGTAGTGGCGATGGTAGGCAAAGACGATTGGGTAGTGGAACCTATAGACTGTTGGATGTAGAGGAGCTCTCGGCCGGAGATCGTGGGGTGTTTGGAGGGTCGTTCGAACGATAACCACAACCAAACCAGATACCACAGCATCCCTACCACTCCTGAAGATATATAAAATATGTTTTAAGCTATATTATTTTATAGAATAGAGTCAGAGGCCGTGGCGAGATAAAAATGGCAACACCGCAGAGCCGGCCTACCGAAACAGCTATACTGATTCCTAATGGAGCGTATAGCAATGGGCCGGTGCGACGTTGCCACACTCCACCGCAGCCTTGTATTAGATGAGGCTATGATAGTGTAGGCATACTTGTTATCGCAGATTTTTACTTAGGTAACTACAAATTTATTTAATTCTTCTGTACAAAAATTAGGTTACGTTACTCATAAAATATTGCTAACATTAAACAATACGTTTAGGACCATTAATGATTCACAGTGAAGGAAAGAACAGTCATTTAGAACTATAACCATTTTATTCTGGATTTTTAGCACTTTTTCATAACCGGGCCATTTTCCAACTTGGATTCGAAAGCAAAATCCTCTTTTAATCCACTATCAAAATTTTTTTATAAAGCTGCTTGTCCTTTCGGGTCCTTCGCCGAGACACCCATTCCTATTGGTCTAATCTATTGGTTGGGGAGCGAGCTGGCGTAGTGGTTAGAGCGCGGGACTTCAGTCCCTGAGGTCCCGGGTTCGATCCCCGCCAAGTCACCAATGGATTTATCTAAGTGATAATGCCGCAACCCCTAGGTCTAGCCTGAAGTAATGTGAAAAACAATCCCAGGCTCGTGCCTAGCGTCCTAGGACAAAAAAAAAAAAAATTGGTCTAATCCCTCCTTCACGTAAACTGTTTTCTGGATACTTTACTTTCACTAACCACATACATTTGATTACAAAAATCTAGTTCCGTTTTTGTGTGCTCCAACAGTTGATGTAACGAGTTACGTGAGTCTTGGAGGTAAAATATAAACCTGCTAATTGATTGTATCAACGTCCCATTTTTATCTTGTTGTACTGAAAAAAGTATTAGTGACAGACGCTTGCTTAAAATATGGATTCCTGCGTCTTAAAATCTGAATATCTAATTAATTATTTTGCTATTGATGTTTGAAACAAACATTTTTCTTACCGTAAAAGTAGAAGGGCGCTTGCCAGCTGAAGGAGGCAATAAGCATCCCAGACAGGGGCATCCCCACAACCACTCCGGCGTAGGAGCCACAGAAGGCGATGGTGGCCAGCCTAGAGCGCTCTAGAGGCGGCGCCCAGTACCTCCAGATACCGTGGCAGGCGGGGTAGGTCACTCCCTGGAAGTGGGTTGTGGTTGTTAGTTACAGATATTGTGGTTAGGATCTAGGCCACAATATCTGGTCTAGGCGTAGTTACAAAATGCACTGTGCCAAAACACATTTCAGAGGTAGTGCATTTCGCTGTGCCTGTCCCTGCACAATGCACATCCTTCAGGAGCATTAGGCATTATTTTTTTAGCATTATTTTTTATGAGCAGGTCCTTTCGGGCAGTGTTTGTGTTGAAGTAATGTATTTCGAAGCAATTCTCTGCTCCAGTAGTATAATTTGTATATTCTTTAGAATTATTTGGAATTGAAAAGGTTGTTCAGGTGGAAGAATACACACACATGGTTTTGCCAGAAAGGTAAATGTGATCCCCGAAAGGAAATCTATTGACGGAAATTGTTGATTTTGGATTCATATACGAAGTAATAATAACAAACGAACGATTTAACAGGTTGTAAAAGAATGAGGTTTTTCTATTAAACCTACAATTGGTTGAAAACAATGAAAACCCAATTTGAGTCCACAGAAAATATAAGGCAAAATATGGAATATGGAAGGAAAAATATAAGGCAGCAAACAAATAAGTATGGCTTTCTTTAAACTTGTGTAGAAAAATACATACTAAACTGCATGTATTGGTGCATGCTTCTGATGTTATAAAAACTAGGAAATCGACATTTTAAAGGTTGAAAACTGCTCTTAATCAATTGAGGCTTCCAAATAAGAGCATCTGAGGTATAAATTAAATTTGTTTATTTGTTATTCTTTAGTTTTGTATCCAATTATTGCTAATTTAATGTTCGGAAAGTCAGGTTGTGCTTGCTGTAGCTATAATTAAACATTTCACACTATTAAAGTCCAACAACTATGCCTATAGTCTGTAAGGTGGGACATGTCCCCTGACCCTTCGTCTACCTGGGCCTGGGCCTTAAACTCTGTATTATAACGTCCATTTATGAAGGTTATTTAAACGCTAACCATTAGGCAATAAAATTTGCACGGAGACTTTTACACATTTGAAACTTTTCAGTAACTATTTTTTCAAACAGACACGCTAAAAAAATCGCCTCATCACAGGTAGGAAAGGCTCAATAGGTATCAATGCTCCCAGGCAACTCGCAGCGATTTGCAAGCCCATGTTGAGAGGGGGGGGGGAGCAGTTTAAGCCGATATTCTGCTGATCTGGGTATTATGAGGGTGTATTGTAAAGAACCCACCCCCTCCCCCACCCCCTCATGTTCATCACTTACCTCTTTAAGCCCTGCGCTACCAGTAAACTCGCGAAGAGCCGATCTATAGTGTAAAAGCCTCATTAAAATACGTTTAGGATTTACGATTAACTATATTGTGTTTTGACTTAGTAACCTTTTAGCTATCTGTATTACAGAAGGAAATTGGGATGTTTTTCAGTGTTAAAACGGAAACAATGGTTAGATTTTGAGTTGTATTTGTCTGTTTGGCAGGAAAATATGCATAACTGTTCCTTCAGAAAAGTCAGTAACCTTGTTCGAAGGTAGGCCCAACATTTTAAATGACATTGAATACAGAAATAACTTGCCGAAACAAAAGCTGCACATTTTCATCTTACTTAATTCTACAGTCATCCTGCATTTAACACCTAAAATAATTTAAGAAATCTAGAATCGGATTTTAAATTTAATTTGCTGAATAAAATATTAGATACTACAAGTTAAATTTGACAAAAAATATTCAATCAAGGTACTCGTAGTCGCCCATTGTAAATTTAATGTGTTTGAATTCACATTTCCCAATTTTTATTCTACAAGCAAAACGTAAGCAGATTCAAATGTTATTTGGAATTGCAAACATTCTTTTAATTGAGAATCAAAGTGTTCACGTCAATATTGGTCCTTAATTGAAACCTGTTAAAATAAGATTTAAAGTAGAAACATAAGTAAGAATATTATTCAAAAGGTATCTATTTCTTCTCAGATTCGTATTTTCCAAATGGGAGCCGCAAATGTACAATAGAAAGATTTGTACTGCATTCTGCAACCAATGTTTCTTTAGGTTTTTTTTTTTTTAATTTACAGCTTGTCTTATGCAGTGTTTTAAAAGCATGAGAATGTACACAAGCACCAACCTCCACAAGTCCCTGTAGGACTCGCACCACGATGACGACCATGGGATGCAGTTGGGTGGCACCTGGCACCAGGAGGTTCAGGAAGGAAGAACAAGCGATCGCTGTCCCGAACACCCTGTCAACAAGTCAAGGTGTCTTGTGTTAACTGCCAGTATTAATACTAGATGGGGAGGGAGTTGGTCTAGTGGTAGACCGCAGGGCTTCGGTGCCCGAGGTGTTGGGTTCAAATCCCGCCAATCACCAATCGATTTTATATTATTTGTTTCAACCACTTCAAATCGTTTAAAAACTAAATATTTTGAGAAGTAAAGAAATTAACAGTACACGTTCAAAGGCTTCTTTAATATAGGTGATCCGATTTATCGGGCATTCGTGTATAAGTTATAATCATACTATTTCACTTTTATATTATTTTCGCTACATTATAATCTCCTTGGTTCCTACCTGTTGGCAGGATACTTCGAGGCCAGGAAACCTCCAGGAACCTGTGTTACCAAGTAACCCCAGAAGAAAGATGAATCCACGGCGCTCTCCATGCCTACACTCCAGTTGAAGTGGACCTCGTCCTGTAAACATAAAAGAACAATTAAACATGTGAAAAATTAAATGTGTAAGTTAGTCTTGTTTCCTTTTCAAGCCTTCTTCGATTACAAAACGTGTTAGCAAAACGGGAGTGCCGATGGAGACCAGGTCAAGGCCCTTCAAACGCACACACCCCCACAGGTCTCCATCGGCGCTCCCGTTTTATGCTAACACATACATGTAAAGAGTTCCTTTTGCAGCCTCTATAATTATATAAATTTCAATTATTTTTTTATCAATACCTATGTAGGCTACTGTTTTGGCTCATCCCTTGCTTTGCTGTATACGTTCCACGCACAGGCCCAAGGCCTATGTGGACGGACAAATTCAAGAGGCCGCCAACATCTTAAACAATGTGCTAATTTGTTTACTACAATACAGTTAGCAAGTTATAAACTCATTATAGGGTAATGCGTTAAAATTAAAGAATTTAAAATAACATCAATAATGAACACGTGTATTTAACTGATTAAAATAGTTTATATTCAATAGTTTGGTGTAACAAAGGTAGATATAGGTTTGTTTTATTTTCCATTAGGGGAATAAAATATAGACTATATTATTGAGTCCAAACTTTTTTTTTACACAATAGTTAAGTGAAATACAATGTTTTCTACTTCATATTAATATCTTATTATAAATTTGGGGGATTCATAAACAAAAATTAAAAATTTTAGTCCCTTGTAAATACGTGGAACTGCTGAATTGGGAAAGCCTTTATATGAAGGTTATTGCTAGATACAAAAATTTATAGCTGAATTTTTAGTACGTAGGAAGCTTTGTATAAGGGAAATTCTCATTACCATCCATCATTAAATTACTTTATTCACACATATATAGCCTATTAAACAGATAAGCTACTTCTGAAAATATAAACACTTGGTGTTTGTTACATTTTTATTTAGATGAACTGGAAAATAAATAATGTAATAATAATAACTTACACCATCGTCGTCGTCCTTGTCAGGATGCTGGAAGAGAATGAAAAGAAGGTTAGGGACAAACATCTTACTATATATTATAGGCTAACCTTTATTAATGTAAGTAACTATATTTTTATCATACGCATTCGCCAACACAATAAATGAAAAGTCTACGTTACCATCCAAAATCTTTACAAAAATAAACTAACATTTAACATAATCAATTTAGCTAAAACACTAAAACTAAAACTAAAATTGAAAATGTGTATAAAACAATGAAATTAAAGGATTATTCAACGAACATATAAACTAGGCATTTTAATATGTTATACTAATGTACATCATTTTAATGCTTATAAGTGTATTTTACCAGGAAAATTAAATACACTCATGACATTTTTCACAGTTACATAGTAAGTAGCAATATAATATATTTACTCACTGATGAATTTCCTTTTCTAGGTTCCTGGAACATAAAAACAAAATATTAAATAAAACTACAGACAATTTAAAAATTATGTTAAATATTTCCCTATATTAACCGTTATCATATAATCGTAATATACATAAATAAATTTCCCAAAATTAAACAAATAGACATTAATACAATACTACAGGTTAAACACTTAACATTATTTTATTTCATTGCGCGTAAAGTGACGTTGTATATAAATATGGACACATAAAATAGTCCCTGCGCTCAATCAGATACTATTGTTGTGTCGCGGAGTGTTTCCGGTCGAGACGCACCCCCGGATGTGACGTCATAGCAAGAATAGCGACCAAATGGACCATTAGTGTTGCAGCTTTTTATGGGGTTGTTTTTCAAGAGGGTTACAAAGTGCCGCGCGGTTTGAAAGAGAGTTTAGTGCTACGTCTCGTGAAAGATTTGCAAATGTTCTTGTAAATAGTACAGTATACCGAATAGATATACATTATGTACAAATTGGTGAGTCCTACTACTCCATACATTTAATTGGCCCATTTGGTTTTAAGCTAGTCAACTTTAAGTATTTTATGATTTATTGAAATCAAAATAAATTATACGGTAATGAATTTTAATATTGCAGGAAACAGCATAGTGTAATAATGAATAATTAATTAACGAACATATTTAGATAGCTGAGACAATTTTATATTCATTTAGATTCATGTTTTTTATACTATACAACAAATGGTACAATGTACAATGAATAGTATCAACATTTAAACTACCAATTTCACAATGTAGTATTGTTGACACATCTCTCAAACGTATTGACAATGAACATATCCTACAAAAATAATTGAAATAAATCCAAAATTTGTCTAACTGATAAAGTGAAAACAATGTTCCATCGAATAAAACATCTAGTTGGTTATACAAATTTTAATACGTGTTAACATTTTATAAAGTACTTTACTTGTTACTTCGTTTTAGTAAAATGTTCAGTATTTGAGTATTTCCCTTGTTTATTAAGTTAAATTCTTTTCAATAATTATAAGTTTACGAGCAGGGACATAAAAAAATTCTTTCTGTTCGTAGTACGTTCTAGGGTCGCAGATTGCAAAATAAACTCTAGCTTAATATACACTGAAACAATTTTTCCCTTTTAACTTTTTATAATACTTCCAACCTGAAAACCCATAACAACATATTGATTGATAATGGGAATCACGACCACGATACAATCTACCTGTTACTCACCCGTGCGCCACGCGATGTTCCCGCGCTAATGCACGCGTGACGCGTTTTACCCGCGCTAATGCACGTGACCACGCGAAAGGGCGCGATGTTTTCACTTGCACTTCCGGTGTTTTGTCCTTTCCTCTCATCGTCCGTGAAGCCATCTTTGTTAGCGTTTATTAAGTTGGCTCCCCTGCTTCCACCCCTTCTAACTTCCGTTCCGCAACAAAGCTATTGTGACATTACTTCCTTTTTTACAAGGGGGAGCGTAATGCGTAATGTGTAGTATTCCGTGCGTGGAGATTTAGGGTAGTTTTGAAAGCTTAAAATGCGTAGATGTGGGGTTTGATGAGCGTAAACATGCTTTTGAATTATATTATTACGTACTTTTTGTGATAGCATAAAATTAATAGTTTTATGTAGTAATAGATCTATTAAATACAAAGGGTCTGATATGAGGTTGTATGTGGTTATGCAACTGCTCAAAGTGTAAGGAAATTTTTCCACAATCTTACAGTTAATAAAAAGTATTTACAAAAACATAATGAAACTCAGCGTATTGGTGTTTTTAACATTTTTTGCAGCAACATATCACAAATTGCTTACGGGTTTAGAGAGGTCAAGAGGAATGGAGACGGGTTAAAACATTTAGAATCTAGATATGTTTCAGTTCTAATGCCTTAACTTCTAGAAAATCGGTCACTGTAAATGAATGTAGTAATTAATATTTATCGTGAATATATTTTACATCATTATTTGCTTACACAAACAAAAATATGAGCAAAACTTAAAGGTATTCTAGAAACTAATAGATTAAGCATGGATTATTGTTGCTGTTTACACCACTTGACTCGGTCCATTTAATCGTTCACTGTGAAATCGTAAGCATAGTATCGATGTTTCATTACTTGCATTGTGTAGTTTGGTTGCTGACTAAAATAAGCGACCTTAATAGCTATTTAATTAAAGTACTTTAATACTGTTCATTGAAATGGTGACCATACAAAGTAGGTATTTTAAGCCAAGTATGAATGGAGATGAGTGTATGAGTGGCGCGATATTGTAATCTTGTTAGTGACTAAGGCTGAGATATTCCTTAGACACAGCTGTTAATTAATAGCCCGTACAGCTAATGGCAACTAAGGGACCTACGGTTAATAGTGGAATCCAAACCACATTTTTGCCTTAGTCACTTGTGTTGGTAAGTCTATGGTATTAACGAATTGGCCTAATTATCAGGATAGTACTGCGGACAGTCGTAGTACTCAGTGCAGCATATAAATATCCACAATTCGTGACCCCCTAGTAGCTGGATTAACAGGACGACGCCACCGCTCCAGTCTTTACTAATCAAATTCATGACGATCAACTATCGCATCCATAAAAGTATAGATTGATTTTACTTAATTTTTTTTGTTATTCAGTTATGTTAAACCAAACCAAGCTAAAATAAATCAATATAGTATTGAACTTAAATCTAATATAGCTTTCACGACTATTTCAAGTCACTAATGTAGATATCTCCCGAACCATTAATTACCTAATCCCCCAACCCCCCTTCCCCATTGGCGCGTGGCGGCGCGTCAGATAGTGTAAATGAAAACCGTATGAGCGCGTTGGCGTGGAAGGCCGATTCACAGGCATCCAAGCGAAACAGCTGACTGACGGATAACACAGACGCGCTTGTGAATCGGCGATTACAACACAATACACCAAACCATCCCCCCTCCCACCCCCTCAACAGCACTTCAACCGAAATTGCTTTTTGGAATTGTTCTTAACACTTATTTCATCTTTCTGTTTTACACTCGAAGGGTTTGAAGATTTATTGCTGGTTGAATTGGAACATGTTGGATTTTTCCTGATATTTAAAAAGTACACATAACAGTAACGTAAAACGTTTCTTTTGCTATGATAAAGCGGTATTTGTAGTCTGTAAGACGGAACCTGTCTCCTGACCATCCTGGGATTGGATCTAGGAAACATTGGCCAATCCACAGGTAGATGAAATGGTGGACAGGTTACATCATACAACCTATAGGCTAACTATGAGTGAGGTAGATTGATGTAAATTTAAACATATTTTCTAATTTAACACTTACCTCTCCAAAGATTTTGAGCTTCGCCATTCCCATGTTACACCTCATTCCGAAGGAAATAATAAAACCTGTGAAGAACAAATAATTTAATTATTGTTAGACTAATTTTTTATGTTATCCATGTGACATACATTTATACGATCTAATCTGATGCATAATAGGGGTACGACATTCGAGTAGAATCAGTCTATTTCTTGAAATCAAGCAGAAAGTGTTGGGAATTATATGGTTGTAGAATCTTTGAGGTTAAATATCCATAATCCTTGGGAATTATGGATAATTACGAAATACTATAAATTCCAACTATATTAGCTATCCGCACTATTTATTAAGTATATTCTTATTTCAAATAATTCAAATATTCAATGTTGCTTACTATACAAACTGCTCCAATAAGCCATTAAAGACAACGTTAAATCATTTTTCGTTTTGTGAGGCTGTACTGCAATATAATATATTTTATGCCACTTGTTGAATATTTGAATTTTATGTTGGAGTGCATTTTTCTATCCAAAATATGGCCATTAACATTAAACAAACCTTTTTAATTTCGTGTTGTAATTTATTACAGTTGAAAAATTGCTGGAAACCAAATGCAATTCGATACCTTGAAAAATTGAATTGAAAATTCAATAATTCAATAATAGAAAATTCAATACATTTGTTGGCGATGGTGAGTTAAGTAAAGACATCATTGAATACATTTTTGGTGGTTCATACTGATTATAAAGTTGAATATGATATCTCATAAATAATTCCCTAATAGCATAGATGCTTGAAAATACAATATGGCACACTAACTTTACTACGCATTTTGTAAATGCAAAACATTAATGTTTTAGCGTTTACATTATTGTTTCGTACCAATATTGTAGTATTTAACATATTTGAATCATCTAAAATCATTTTCCCACTCACCTAAGCAGGTTAGCATGGCGATGGTGTACCTCTTGGTCAGACAAGGGCACTCTGGAGCGATGTACTTGTCGATGTGCCTCAGAGGAGGTCTCTCCGGTTCCGGGGGTGATCCTGGGGACCCAGGGTCCGGGCCTTCGCCCTTGGGGTACCTGAACAAGGGGAAGTGAAGCACTCTGCTGATAAACTCGTCAAACCTCACACCTCTTTGGGAGTCACAAATTAACACCATTAAATTGTATTGAAAATACATTACTTCATAGACGTTACACATTATTGTTTACTGTGTTATACAATGTAATAACAGTAATTTGATAATTTTGAGGAAAGAAGATAACAAAACTTAATATACAGTTGTTCCAATCAGATTTAGTAATGAATTGTTACGATTTGCTTGGAGTATAGTGCATTCTACCATAATCTACTTGACACTTGACAGATTACATAGTGAACTGTATACGTTTAAGAAAGCAAAGCTTTTCATAGTAATTGTGACATTACTAATTATTCTCAGTTTTCTTTCCAAATAAAATTTTGAAGAAATATTTGACTCTTTAACCTAAGAATGATTTATTACACTATGCCTTTTAAGGTTTTAAATGTATAAATTAGTGGCTTAACGTTGAAAAAATCATTTAATCGTAATTTGTGATTAATAATTAATTAAGTATCATCTATTTCACTTAAATAACTTACCCCAGGGTAGGATGGACGTCTTGCAAGTTCTTATGCGGCATCTCAAACTCCTCATAGCGCACATTGCTGGAACAAAATTAATATTGATAATCAGTAAAAGTATAAGTAAAACTCAACATTCTTTTATATTGTATCTCTGTAGCTTATGTCTAAATTGCAAGTGATTCAGAGTGTTAAAATTACCCTATTACAATTCAGAGTGCGTTTGAGGTTCATCAAAGAGTAAACTGATAGTAAATGTACGAAAACATTTTAAACATTTTCGTAGCTAACTAGGTTATTTAATTGGTTTGGATAGTGAAATTATAAAATCCACATAGAGTCACAAAAGCTAGCTTTAATTTCAGCTTCAAATCACATAATTTTTTGACAATTTAAGTTAAATAATTAATTGTGAAGTGATGCAGCAAAAAATGAAACATTTTAAAATCAGTTGAAGTATAAACGTTGACAGTGATCCTCATTAACAAGGGCTTTCCGTGACTTGAAAAGGCATCGTTAATGGGCATTTGGCGTTGCCACATGATCCTCTTAACTGTGACGTCACGTCTCCATGACAACCGAACAATATCTCGATATCAGCATAATCGATACGATATGTCACTGCGATTTTGTGATTCGACTCATAGATCTCTGTATTAGTCGGGTGATGATTTTTGGAGGATGTTGAACATTTTGTGGAATAAAAATTAACACCTAGATAGTTTTCCTGATGGAAATTTCTTTTCTTGGGATTGTTTCGTAAGTAAATATTTGTGGACAAATGTGATTAGTTTAATTATTCAAAGGAACGCTAATAGATAAATAAAGATAGAATAAATAAAGTTCTACTGTACAAGCGACTGGGGAGCGAGCTGGCGTAGTGGTTAGAGCGCGGGACTTCAGTCCCTGAGGTCCCGGGTCCAAGTCACCAATGGATTATATCTAAGTGATAATGCCGCAACCCCTTGGTCTAGCCATCGATGTATGGGTCTAGCCTGAAGTGATGTGAAAAACAATCCCATGATCGTGCCTAGCGTCATAGAAAAAAAATGTAGAAGTGAGGGGGTTTCTTTTCTCTAACATAGTCATGATAAACAAAAACCCTTTATGTTTTAAATTCAATGGGTAAACCTTTCTACCCTTCATGGAAACACAAAAAATGTTTAAACACAATGCAATTTCAAACGGTTGTATTATTGGCAACGCACATTGAAAAAGATTTAATTTTCTTGTCTTATAGTCTTTAAAACCATTCGGACTGTTTGGAATGTTATAAAAAAAATGTTTTGTCTTAAATTGACACGAAGTTTAAATATACAGGACCAACGACTTACCAATTTAAATGAATTTATAAATGGATCTTATATTTATGTACTTAATTTTACAGGTAGTTAAATTGAAATTACAATTTAATAAAATTAAATAAAATTTTAAAAATAGTGTATATATTAATAAATAACTATGAAAAATAATCAGTGATAAAACAGCTGATAGCTAACATAACAATGCAAAAGGGGTTTCCTAAACCAGACGAGCCTGCAATTTAATAATGCAATATGGCTACAGAGGTCATGCAGTATCGTTGTATAGTCAGGCGTTGGTGGCCCTTTTTACTTGATGTTTTTTTTCTAAATTGGCTTGGATCATTGTATTTTCTTAAAAAGTTATAAAATAATAAATAAAGTTTTAAACGAGTAATGCAGTTTTTACTTTATTCCTCCACTATATTTCAGTACGACATAGCACCTGCAATGACAATACTGTAGGCTCAAACACTGACGTCATTTCGTTTAGAGTTATTGTAGAATACATTGATTTAACTCAATTTTTGACATAGGCTTACAGACATTTGACAAACAAATTCCTCGTAATCTCAGAAATTTATTTTCTATTCAATTATGAATTTTTGTACTGCGACGCAAAGAAATAAAAACAATAACCACAAAAAATTTATTTACAACATAATAAGCACGAACCAATTCAATTAACCACTTGTCAAAGGTAATGGAAAACACGAAGCCCGCCAACTTCCCTTATTCATTAGATTCAAAGACGTCTGAGAAACGGAGAGGTCTCAAAGACCTACGGAGGGTATATTGAAATGAACTGAGAAACGTTTAATAATAGTGATGTGAAGGTGTTGAGCGGGGAGGGGGTAATTGGAGGGAAGAAGTGCTCGACGTCACCAACAGCTGTCTGTAAACAGATCCGGCGAATGTGCTCTCCAGATACAAGAGGCACTGGAGTGGTGAGTCATCCACCTTTGACCCAGACCATTTTGTAGCACTTTGGAATTTTTTGGAGGAAAATGTAGAAGAAAGTACCAAGGTAAAATTTTTATGATTGGAAGTTGCACACTGTATTTATTTGATTTGTGTTGCTGCTTGTTATTCTAAGTTTATTTCCTAACAATATAGTTTGAATAGGTTTTAAAATAACTTTAGGGACAAACTTGGCCTAATAATGTAAAAAATCATAACAAATTGAAATTCAATCAATCGTAAAGAAGAGTCTTATGTTTACGAAGTAACGAAACATGCGATAATGGTTACACAATTTTGGTATAGTAATTTGAATATGGATAGAAAGAAAAACACAATCTACTCTTTATCTATAATTATCAATAATTACTTAAGTTGTAAGAAATTTGCATTTTAATATAGTATTATTGAAGATATAAAGTCATTGATAGTATTTTGAGTCATAGTGTCCATGAAAGGTACTACAGTATCAGTGAGTAATAAGAGTGTGATTTTGTGATTTTACTTTTCAGGTTTTTGCTGAAATAAACCATATAAAAGCGTACTATACTAAAATCATCTTTACCTAGGTGTATGTATGCTTATAGATTCACATTGGAACTTAAAACTACTGTATGCACTTTGAAAGACGTATATTAGTATATCTAACTAAAAATGTTTATGCATGTATTTAATTATCTTAAATACAAATCTGTAGTTATCTTATGAGTAAATACACACAAATTAAGAGATTTAAGATTTAATGGTCTGAATAGTCTTGATTATTCGTTTAAAATGTGATATTTCAAAAATTTTACTGCTGTGGGGTTTATTTATACCGGGTTGAAAATAGATTTTAAAAATAATTACGGCTATCATCGGTCAATAAACAAAAAGTAGTTCCCAACTAAGTCACGCCTGCAATGCTATGACGCAATAGTAATACAGCGTTCATGTAGTATCGCGCAACTGTCAGGCGTCGATATGTTTTTGTTGTTTTGGATTGTAATTCACATTATTATTTCTTTGTCATGTTTAGACCACCTTTTCCTACTTTATGTGCTATAACAGTATAGGCTTTATATATCATTCCAGACATTTTTTTTTTTTAATATACGGGTCTAACAATCCAAGTACGCATTTCCCTGTGTTAATTATTCAGAGAAACATAATTGTCTAGTGCTGCTAATTAGTTAACTATACTAATATGAAGCTGACACACCAGTTATTTTAATAGGAAAGTGTAGTCTGTCTAACTGGTCTGATCTGTTTCTAAATATATAAGCCTTGGTTTTCTGTAATAGTTTCTTCCAAAAAAAGTTGGCTTTCATTTTCAAGCAAAGTGTACTTTGTTTATAACAAGATGACTCTCAATTTTGAACAAGTCTTTTTCAGGGCCAGATGAACCTCTACCACGTCTATAAATAGTATAAATTTAATGAAGAAAGTAAGCACCCGTGCATGGATCGTTTACAGCAAAGCAAGGAGTGAGCCGGTACAGTACAAAGGTGAACTGTACTGATAAAATGTTATCGGCAGTGACCAGGATCCGATCCCACGACATCGCTGCCTTGGGCTCGAAGTCCGCGACGCTACCGACTGAGCTATCGACTCACTATCTGTTCACAACAAGATGAACCTCAGTTTATATGGTATAGTTTGTCCAAAACAAGATTATCCTATGTTATAGTCAAGATGACCCTTACACACGTGCAATCTGTCCACCACAAGATGACCCCTAGTTTGCCCCAAACACGCAATGAATGTTTCATAGCAACAGGAGCTATAAGTCAGGCTAACAAGTCTATATTACAGGGGCGGTGCAGGTTGGGGAGGGGGGGCCTCAAGTGGCAGGTAAACACCCTGGGGCGCCCTCCCCCTCAATTACTTCCTCCCAATAAAAGATATGAACCTTTCTACCGGAACTGATTTCATTAGGGCAACATTATTGGCCTGCTTAGTAGTGGAGGATGTAGGTGTGCTGAATATTGGATGTTAAACTTTTTTCGAAATTGGCTATTGGTAAAATTTTAAATGAAATGAAAAAATGAAATAAAATGAAAATAATTTATTTACACAGGCAAAGTTTAGGCCACATGGCCCTTTCTTACACTTAACCTGTACTTTACCTGAATGCGTGATATTATAAAACTGTGGTAAAACTATTCTTTAACTTTAAGTTACTATTTATTATTTTTTAGTTTTAGTTTTGGGATAGCTAGAGAGACAAAAAAACTATTGCATAATATAACTTGTTCTACTCTCAAAAATGAACACAGTATTAATTAATAATTAACCATAATGCGTTCTTTGAGTTTAACAGAAATGCACGATAAAAAATTATGTAGGGAATGAGTAAATACGAAGAATTTAATAACTAGCAGTAAGAATCCAGAGCAACATAAGATAACATGTTTTACCCTGATTCTTCAAAATAGTCAAGTCGTTTTACCTGTAGTTCATTAATTAAACTCAACAGAAACTACAAGCAAACTTTTGCAGCACGTTTTCAATCTGTTTTAATGAATAATATTTCTCATATTGAATTACACATTAATTTCCTAAATTTTAATGTACATCAACACACATATTTACGAACATTTCTTTAACTCTAATATTAACTGATGTTATGCATAACAATAGCAAGGTAACTTTGGGAGCTTGTAGTGCGAAGTCTAAGGAGAGTTTACAATTATAGATCTATGTTCATCTGTGGTATATCTGCTTTTGTGGTTCATATACATTTTCAGCTCAAATGGTCCAGTAGTTTTAACGTGAATCACAATGTGACATAAAACATTCGAACTTCAACATTCATAATATTAGTAAGTTAAGATTGTTGGT